CACAAAAATTCCACAAAAATTCCACAAAAATTCCACAAAAATTCCACAAAAATTCCACAAAAATTCCACAAAAATTCCACAAAAATTCCACAAAAATTCCAGCTTGTGGCAAAGGGAAATTGGGAATTTTCCATGGGAAATGCTGGGAACGGTGTTGGATTTTGGGATCTGCCTGGAAATTGGAGGAAACCCAGGAAAAGGCAGGAAATTCCTGGGAAAATTAAAAAAAAAAAAAATCTCAGGAAAAGAAAAATATTGAAAAAAAATAAAAAACAAAAACCAGAAACAAAGAGAGAAAACAAGGAATTCCAGGAAAAAAACCCCAGGGAATTCCTGGGGAAAAAAAAAAAACAAAAAACAAAAAAACAAACTCCAAGAAATTTCAGGGAAAAAAAAAAAAAAATCAGGGAATTCCTGGGTGGTAAAAACAGGGAGTTGGGAATATTGGGATAATTCCAGGGAAATTCATGGATCCTTCTTGTTCTTCCTGATCCCCAAATCCAGCAGAAAATTCCAGAAGGAGACCTTGGAGCCCATTGCAGAGGGGATTCAGGAGAGCTGGGAAAAGATTTTTAGGAATTTTTTTTTCCTTTTGGAATTCTGAGATCAGAGAGGAAAATCCCAGGAATTTTTTTTTTTTTAAATAAAAATAAAAAAATAAAGAAATTTGAGGCTTGGAAATTTGGAGCAGTTGAGATCTCCCACGTTCCCTGCGTGCCTCAGTTTCCCTCTGGGGGGGGAAAAAAAAAAAAAAATTCCAATGATTTTAGGAGGGAATTGTTCCCAGGATCAGGAAATCATGGAATTTTTCAGGTTGGAAAAATCCTTTGGGATCCTCAAGTGGGATTCTGGCTCTGGGACAACGAGGGAAATTTGGGAATTTTGTGGGAATTTGGGATTCAGGGAAGGATCCTGGAGAATCCCAGAATTTTTGGGATGGATGGAAGGAAGGAAGGGTGGAACAGGATCCTGCTGCAAGTACAGGATTTGGGAAAATTCCCATTATCCCAGACTGCTGCTGGGACAATCCCAGGGATTCCAGGGAATCCCAGACTGGTTTGGGATGATCCCAATCCCAGGGAATCCCAGACTTTTTGGGATGATCCCAATCCCTTGGAGCAGCTCCTGCTCTCCCAGGGATGTTCCAGCCATGGATTCTTTGGCAATTCCAACCCCAAAAAAATCCCAATATTTCAATGGAAGCCATTCCTGGGTCCTGCATCCCAAATTCCTCAACCTTGGCCATGGGATCCTGGCTTTGGGATTTTGGTTTTGGGATTTTGGTTTTGGGATTTTGGCCATGGGATCCTGGCTTTGGGATTTTGGTTTTGGGATTTTGGCCATGGCATCCTGGCTTTGGGATTTTGGTTTTGGGATTTTGGCCATGGGATCCTGGCTTTGGGATTTT